GAGAGGAGGGGAATGACAAAAGTGCCGAGGGTTTAAAAGGTCCTTAGAGGCACTCAGCTTTCTGAAGGGCACGGCTCGGCTAGACGAGGTCTCTACATACCTCGACCTATCCGCTCTACAGGGGACGGTGGAGGAGGAGGAGTAGGAGGTTGGTCGCGTTCAGAGCATAACCCTATTGTAGGAGACTCTCTCACACTTCAGACATTCCACCCGAACGCCCCATTATGCTTACCACGTCACCCGAGAGCCAGAATCGCCACACCTACCCACCGCGCTTGCCCAAGATTAGCGTAAAGGGAACAAAGTCCGCCAGGCTGTGTTCCCCCAGGTAGTGGGCCAGTGCGCCAGACAAGAGTCAGTGCACGACGGAAGGAAGATTTACGGGCAGTGTGTGTGTTGGTCGTGGTAGTGAGGGGGTGAGTTATGGAGACAACACCACCATGTTCGTGGAGGGTTTGGACTTGTTCTCCAGGCGGGACGTTATGACCAAGGGGGAGAGAAGGATTTCTCAACTGGGAAGAAAAAGAAGCTTTCTTAACTGGGAGATATTGAAGGAGATTCAAAGCTGGAGAAATTGCTGACCTGGAGAGCGTGCAGAGATCCTTTACTGTTGGAATCCACTCGGTAAAACATCTAAACTACTGGGACCTACTAAAATGCATAAATCTGTATTCTCTTGAGCGCAGGCGAGAGAGATACATAATAATTTACACGTGAAAATATTAAGAGGGGCTGGTCTTAAACCTGCACACCACATGAGACCAGAAGACATGGCAGGATGTGCAGAATACCCCCGTTGAAAAGCAGAGGTGCAACAGGTACTCTGAGAGAGAACTCCATCAACATCAGAGGCCCGAGACTGTTCAACACGCTTCCACTACACATAAGGGGCATAACTGGCCGATCCCTCACAGTGTTCAAGAGAGAACTGCATAACCTCCAAGGAATACCTGGTCAGCCAGGCTGTGATTCATACGTCAGGCTGCGAACAGCCGCGTCCAACAGCCTGGTCGACCAGTCCAGCAACGAGGCGGCCTAGTCGAGGACCGGGCCGCGGCAACGCTAAACCCCGAAATCATCGCAAGGTAAGGAGGACGAGAGGACAGGGGCTGCAAGCTGGAAAGGCAAATGAGTCGAAGAAATATAAGGAAAAACTCGTACTCAGTACGGCTGGCCATCACGTGGAAATGTCAATGAATGAAGTTGTGGAAGCCACCTCCACCACAACTTAGAGGCCGGATGCCACAAGGAAATCCAACGTCAGGAAAGTAGAAGTAAAATTATAACGCCAAAAGGCACAACAAGTCTAATAAGGAGACATAAAGAGGTAGGCCTCACTCCCCCATAATCATTGATAGGTAAGTAATAGTAGGTAGGTGCTCTACCTACCCCTACACCCTCACACAGGGTGATATGTTTCAGCGCTCGGATCATGTCCTCATCATTCCGCCTCACTCTCACCACACACACACACACACACACACACACACACACACACACACACACACACACACACGCACACACACACACACACACAAATTAATTACCACTCAAATATGTTCTAAACTTCTCCACCACCACCACCCCCACCATTCTCCCCTCCCCCCCCCACCAACCAATAGAGAACCCTCCACAAGGGCCCCACAGTGTAGCCTCTCCCTCACCTCCCCCCCCATCCCACGACCCCCCCCCCCGGGCCTGGGGTCACCACCCCCTTCCTCACCCTACATGCCATCACCCCTACACACACACACACACACACACACACACACACACACACACACACACACACACACACACACAACAACATCCCCCACTACCAGAACTCCCCCTATCTCACCACCCCTCCCCTCCCTCTATCACTTACATTACCATAAAGATACAGTTTATAATGTCTATAATCACGGACCTCGGCACGAGGCACGACACAACAGCCTGCCGGAACAATTGTTACCTTTGTTCGACCAGCAAGAATTTCCTGCCCTCTTCCCGGATTTCTCTCGGTTCACCAAATCCTAACAACACGTCTTGGACATATTCCCTGAATATACCTTAGTCATACTCTCGATATAACGGCTTGGAACACACACACGAGTATGGTGGGCCTGCGGGCCCCCTCAAACAACAGCCTTCTAGATCAAGTAATCACTAGACTTGTGGGAGGGCTTGGAGAGTAGAACTCCCTCCAGGTATACTCCAGCTATACCTTGAGTATACTTTGAACTTCTTCCCATTGGGGGAGTGTTGTACATGCTGCTATGGCGGTATGTCCACTCACAAGATGAGTGGCGCTGCCCAATAAACTCGCCCCTCGGGGCAAAATATAAAAATTTAAAATTCTGATGTAGAAATCACAGCCCGGTTGATCAGATATGCTAGTATTCCCAGACATACACAGCTAACCCTTAGTCATGGCGCGCTGGGCGCCGCTGCACGCAGTCACACGTAGGAACCAATGACCAAACTATCAGGTATGCTGGTATGCCTAGACGTACCCAAGTATAACTTCCTCATACTCGCAAGACGAACCACGCTTCCCAATAAATTCGTCCTTCGGGGCAAAATTTAACCGAACGACACTCACCTGGGCCGCGGGGACACTAAAAGCCCCGAAATCATCTCAAGATAACCTCAAGATAACCATTAGCGGAGCCCGGGCCTGGAGATAGTCACGCGACAAACACCTTCAGCGAATAAAGACAAGGTCCAGGAAACAAACACCTTCAGCGAATAAAAGCACATGGACAACTGTGACGTCTTTATAGTAGTTTTTTTTTCTTTTCTTTTTTATACTTAGGTACAGGAGCAGACGACGTTTGACCTGTTAACGGGCTTGGGGCTTTCTCGAGCCTCCCTTAATTCATGCTTTACCCTAATGAGTTCCCCTAGAGCACGACCCGCCAATCGGTTTACATCCAGGTCCATATAATTACTGCTAGGTGACCAGGGGCGAACAGTTAAGTGGATCATATAAAATTAGTTCAAGGCTGCAACAACCGTGGACATCTTCAAGAGAGTCCCAGCTGTGTCTGGGTACAAGTGACAGGATGAACAACCTAGCGGGGTTTCTTCCTATTGGGGAGTGTTGTACATGCTGCTATGGCGGTATGTCAACTCACAGGATGAGTGGCGCTGCCTAATATACTCGCCCGTCGGGGCAAAATTAAAAAAAAAAATTTAATCCTCAAGAGAAAACTAGACTGTTTTCTCCAAGGAGTGCCGGACCAACCGGGCCGTGGTGGGTATGTGGGCCTACGGGCCGCTCCAAGCAACAGCCTGGTGGACCAAACTTTAGGACGTACAACAACTCCCAGAACCCCATCAACCAGGTATCAACCAGGTATCAACTCTCCGTCAAAAAACGTTCAATTATTAAAGTCAAACAAAATAAATGTTGTATATACAAATTACATTGTGAAGAACCACGATATATAGTGCAAACAAAAGTTTACTGTGCGCAACCTTCCTCCTGGAAAGTATATGGAACTGGTAAACAATTTTCCACAAAATCTTGCAAGCAACTTTTCCCTGCAAAATGACCTATACTGGTCAAGAAATGTATCGTTAGAACAATATTTTTTGCAAGCAATCTGTTTTAGGATACTTTTTGCAATAAAAAATGCAAGCATTTTTTTTTGCAAAGTAATATTTTTTTTAAATTACTTTTTTGCAAACTAATATTTTTTTAAATTACTTTTTGTAAACTAATATTTTTTTAAATTACTTTTTTGCAAAACAATATTTTTTTAAATTACTTTTTTTGCAAAGTATTTTTTTTAAATTACTTTTTTGCAAACTAATATTTTTTTAAATTACTTTTTTTTACAAAGTAATTTTTTTAAAATTACTTTTTTGCAAACTAATATTTTTTTTAAATTACTTTTTTTGCAAACTAATATTTTTTTAAATTACTTTTTTGCAAAACAATCTTCCTTTGTTTGTCTATCAATCTTTCTTCTTACAAGAAATCTTACTCGTGTTTAAGACTATTATTAACTAACATACTCCTCGCTGTCTTGCCGGCGGAGCCCCTCAAGCACACACTCAAGGACTTTCATATTTAGCTCTCACTTGAACACATCACTCAAGCGGTCACTTGAGCACATCACTCAAGCGGTCACTTGAGCACATCACTCAAGCGGTCACTTGAGCACATCACTCAAGCGGTCACTTGAGCACATCACACGACCTGTCACTCAAACGGTCACTCGGAACACATCACACGACCTGTCACTCAAGCGGTCACTTGAACACATCACTCGAGAAGGTAACTTGACACTACAAAACTCTGCTTGTACACTTAACATGGTCTGCGCACTCTGCTTGCGCATAAGCGTAATTTGGAACTAATCCCCTTAATGTTTTCTAGATGTTGATTAAGATTTTCCTGGATTACCTGTGCTTCGCCAAGTACAATTCAACGAATTTTCAGAAGTTTTCAATAATTTAGAAATCTTCTTGAGTGGATTCTGACGTACAATAGTCTCTGAATGTTTTCTGGGTCAGCAACTTCTCCAGTCTTGAAAGAAACGGTTAATGTCCAACAGAATTCTAGTCTAGAAGTTACTATTGTTTTATAAAATGTACGACGATGGTTTGGTTCTTGTTATCCACCGGCTACTGTATTGTGTGCTTTAATGTAAGGTTGCTAGAGATAGCCAGAGATAGGTACTTCCAGGCCTTTAACGCCTGTGATTGGAATGCAAGAGATTGGAACAGGCGCCGCTGGAACGCTTATAGCTAATGTGTGTGTATGTGTGTGTGTGTGTGTGTGTGTGTGTGTGTGTGTGTGTGTGTGTGTGTGTGTGTGTGTGTGTGTGTGTGTGTCAGCAACAAGGAGGCCTGGTCGAGGACCGAGCCGCGGAGGGACACTAAGCCCCGAAACCATCTCAAGGTAACCTCAAGGTGCAGACGACACCCCAAGAAACCGTAAAAACTGAAGAGAAGAAACCCCTACAGGAGTTGCAATATATGTATGGAAGAGCTACATCTTTACTCACCCTTCTCCGGACCTGTAGACAACGTCTGGGTGTGTGAAGGGACTCGGTAGTGGGCGCCGCTGGCGTTCTTCTACAAGACTTAGACGTGGGCTGGGGTCCACGCCCTTGAGTTTGTGGTCTGAAACACAATATAAACACATCAAAAATCGACACTAAACCAAAGAATTCCATCAGCTGGGAGGGCGGGGGGAGAGGGCTCAATCCACCCGGTATATATATATATATATATATATATATATATATATATATATATATATATATATATATATATATGTATGTATATGAGAATGTCAGCTCAAGAGCCACACACGACACACTCTTCCCCAAGGGCCTCAAGATTTGCCTGAGTGGATCTGATCCTCGAGTCCGTGTGGATATACTGCATGAGTATACTCAACTATGGGCAATATAACATTTACGGGTGCGCGTGAGCCCACTACATTATGCCAACCACAACAGACAGGTAGGTCCTCAGCGTGTAATTTACGTCTTCCGTCCCCATAGTGAGTAGCAGGTGGGAACTCGTGGATTCTAATTTTAGAACATCTTTGCCTCCTAAATAAAAGATACTTTTTGCATATTTTCCTAAACATCTGAAATATTTAAATATATAACTTCTTAAATATATATAAATGTGTTTATTTATCAACAGAGTTTTTGCCTTATGTGATGTTTGTTATTTACAAGTAAATATTGGTAATATTTCTATGATATACAATTGATAAAATATAACAATATCAGCATAATGTCTCCACAGATTTTTTTTATTTCAACAAAATGTGAATGAACACACACACGCGCACACACACATACACAAAATCCACAGTGTGTGTGTGTGTGTGTGTGTGTGTGTGTGTGTGTGTGTGTGTGTGTGTGTGTGTGTGTGTGTGTGTGTGTGTGTGTGTTAAAAAAAATCCGTTGATTAATTGACAGTTGAGAGGCGGGACCAAAGAGCCAGAGCTGAACCCCCGCAAGCACAACTAGGCGAATACACAGACACACACAAAGCGTGCAAACATAGACAAGTAGAACAAACAGTATTACGACAACACAAGAGAATAAGTCAACAAGGAACACGTTGATAACACTACAGGTCTGTCAGGAGGCACGAGGAGGAAGCACTCGGGTGACCCGCTGTCTCTCTCTCTCTCACACACAGCACTCGGGTGACCCGCTGTCTCTCTCTCTCTCTCTCTCTCACACACACACACACACACACACACACACACACACACACACACACACACACACACACACACACACACACAGTTTAAGGCGTATTAATCTCTGGAGAATTGTTAAGACCGCGACACTATGGTACTGACCAACAATATATGCACCGAGAATTAGAGTACACCTCTGGGTGTATACACACCAATTAAGCAGGGTACTCCTCATGCACAAGGAAACCCACAATAACCTGATATATCTGTGAGAAAATATTTGGAGTAGGACGGGGATCAAACCAGCGTGCTGGGTCTCCCCAGACACGCGCCTTAACCGAAGGACCACGAGGCTTTCTAGAAAGGAAAAGAGAGAGAGAGAGAGAGAGAGAGAGAGAGAGAGAGAGAGAGAGAGAGAGAGAGAGAGAGAGAGAGAGAGAGAGAGAGAGAGAGAGAGAGAGAGAGAGAGAGAGAGATACCAACAAAATATAATGGAAGTTACTGGAAGACCAGGTGCTAAATTAGCACAGTAGGATAACAACATACTGGAGTGAACGATATGAATGAAAATGCAGAACAGCTCCAGTGAGATGAGGTGCCATAGGCACACTCAGGAAACCATCAACATCAAGGGCTCAAGATATTTTAACAATCTTTCTACCAATAAAGGACATTACTGGCCAACCTGCTTACCTTGAGATGATTTCGGGGCTTAGCGTCCCCGCGGCCCGGTCCTCGACCAGGCCTCCTAGAGAGACAGTGCCAGAGAGAGAATTTGATAAACACATCCAAAGAATTTATGATCAACCAGACTTTGATATACACATCAGGCTACGAGCAGCTGCGTCCAACAGCCTGATAGACCACACCACCAACCTGTCCCCCACCCTGTCTCTACCTCCCTGCCCCCCCAAGCTTCTCACCATTCCTGCCTCGAGTCACACTTCCTCCCTGCCTCCACCAGCCTCCCTCCGTGACCTCCAACTAACACAAACTGTAACAAGACCCTTCCACTTCACCCCAGCTCCCTCGTCTACCCCCGCCCCATCCATTCCTGTCAACCCTTCCTAGCATTTCCACCTCTTGCCCAGACTACACCAGCGGGAGAGGAATGAATAACACACAACCTACAGCTTGGCTGAGGACATGTGTGGGAGAGAGATCAACTCTTGATCTACTTTGATCAGTAGAATCAAAGTCAAGCTATCGCGGATGCTCGAATGAGATCAACTGTAATTACCTGAAGAAGTCGCATTTTTAATGAGTAGAAAACTGAGAGAACGGAAGAAACCATCTACACAATGAGAGTAACGTTAGAGGAAGCACCCAAGGCCTACGTTATAAGCAGTGTTCAATGCTGATTACACTAATTCCCACGAATTAGTTTCGTGGGAATTTTCGAATTAGATTACACTAATTCCCACGAACTGGCCAATAAGGAACTTCGAAAGCAACATCCTTGTTGTATTTTCAAAGTATAGACAACAAAATTCATTCACTAACTCACTCTTCCATCGCTACACCTCAACATGTGCCTCACTAAATCTTTCTTTCACCCCCCCCCTCCTCTCTTATCTTCCCTGCCACACTTATCTTTCTCGCTCCATATTTATCTCCTTATGGGTCTCCCTCAATCATCATAGTTCTCTTTCTCTCAGCTTTTATTTTGTTACACAGTTGGGAACAAGAGCAGACGACTTGTAGCTCCTGTAAGCTGGTTTAGAGGTTGCCTTCCCATATCTCATGCCAAGCCTTGCCCTGCTATGCCGGCGATGAGTCACAGTAACGTGGCTAAAGTATGTTGACCAGACCACATAATGACCACGAAATGACTTGAGAATGGTCGAAACAATCGACTTGAGAATGGTCCAGGACGGACCGAAACGTCGTCGTCCCTTCAACTTCTAGTGTGTGGTCTGGTCAACTTGCCCTACTAGTTTTCCTTGGAACACGAACCGTCAATCGGTTAACAACCAGGTCCCAATTAGTGATGGGTGAACTGGGAAAAAATACATAAGGACTGACATTTAGTCAATCCTCCCTTTCCAGGTCTCGAACCCAGACCAAACTGCTCGCGGGGCGAGTGTGGTACCACTACGCCACCAGTTTCTATTATTGCTCCATTTTGACCATCTATTTGATCTGTTACATTATTAATTTACCTTACGTTCACGAGTGTCTTCCGTTACAATATTGTTGTGTCCAGCGTTCTTCCTCATTTTCCTCATCGCTAAGAACTAGAGAAGTGACAAACTAACTAAGAAAAGACTAAACAATCAAGGAAAGATGTTCAAGAAGTTCCCGTGAACTTCCCCTCATGTCAGACCTTGAGGACATGAGGGAGCAGACGTACAGCTGGCAGAGGGCGATACAGGAGAGAGCATATGTTGACCAGACCACACACTAGACAGTGAAGGGACGACGACGTAATTATACAGGAGCAGGCTGCGATCTGCGAGCAGCCGCGTCTAACAGCCTGGTTGATCAGTCCAGGAACCAGGAGGCCTGGTCGACGACCGGGCCGCGGGGACGCTGAGCCCGGGAAGAACCTCAAGGTAAGGAGCATAATTACTATTTTGGGGGTGTAGAAATAGCCTAAGCTACTCTATCCCTTAGAGATGTATTTTTGTCTTGTGTTAAGTAGGTAATCAAGGTAATAAACATACTTGAATTCGAATTACTATTTCATCCCCAAGACCCTAATACGAATTACCACCAGGTAGTAACATCGTAACAAGGCGACTGAGGAACGAAGAACAGACAGGCAAGTCAGTGAGTCAGTTCGTTGGTACAAAACAGTTGCAGCCGATAAGAACAACCTTCACAGAGGACAGAGATGCGGTGAATGATGGCGAGAATGTGTAATAACAAAGCATTAGTCTTGGATACAAGTACCCATAGAGATAGGGACCGGAAGCGCCAAGTGAACACACACACTACAGAACCTGCAGCACTAGAGGACACCGTCTGGAGGACCCTTTACTCCAGAGATTCTGGCCACCTAAGAGACACTAGGAACATGTGTAGTATACCAAATTTACACTGCTTCAAGTATGAGAACTTCACTTGACAAATATACACACACTGTGTTCCTAAGAGATTCTCCCACTTAGCAACAGCAAGATAACGTGAGTTTGGGGGTTGGTACATGTTAGTATTATTATATATGTTAGAACAGATGTTTTAGTAATAGTACCACGTTATACAATATGGTACATATTATACAATATTATACAATATTATACAATATTATACAATGTGGTACAGATGTTTTGTCGATCTTTTTGTTCACTTGAGACAGTTTCAAGCAAGTCCCAGCTGCGTCTCTGGTACAAGTGACAGGATGAACAACGCAGCGGGTGTTCTTCCTGTTCAGCAGGTTCACTTCCTGTACCCATAACATGCCTCTGTAACTTTTGTCACTACTGCCAATGCGCCCATGGAATGGTTATAGGGTACATAATAAATGAACAAATACAAATCTTCCTAAGGGGAAGGGGTATTGTTCACTCACAGGATGAGTGACGCTGCCCAATACTGTCACTATGATGACATGTTTACTCACTGGATGAGTGACGCTGCCCAATACTGTCACTATGATGACATATTCACTCACAGGATGAGTGACGCTGCCGTTATAAACTCGTCCTTCGAGGCAAAAGATTTTGATAACACTAACAATGATTTATGAGTTCATCATATTCTTAGGGTTTTTTGGGATTGTCTCCTCATTCTTGGGATTTTTTGATGTGATATTATCAACACAGTGTTTCTACAATAAGTGCTGGTAATGAAGCGCAACACAACACTTGCTTCCCCACCTACACACAACACATGAAGCACTTGGGACACACGAAGCACTTGGGACAGCTGTTGCTTGAACTATTAAAAGGTTATAACTCTAACCCTGATTCTCTTCACACACACCTCCTTGCTCTCTCTCTCTCTCCACCCA